GGGGGGGGGGCATGTATGAAGATATCCCGTTGGACGGCAAAAATTTGGACCACCGAAAATTAGGTGAAGCGATATTTTGAATTAGGCTACGGTATTATAATATTAACCATTTTGTTTTATTATGAAGTTTACAGGTGCAATAAATATTATTGTTATATAGTTAGTTCAAAGTTCAATTTTTCTGTTTGCCGATTGGTCAAAACCGTGTCACATGGCGGTCCACAAAACGACATGTTCGGCAACCGATTCGCAATGAAACATTTTATATTGACTGGTCAATAATAAAATGGGTGCAATACGCATGCGTGTCAACCACGAAGTTCCAAAGTTTATTTTTTAAAACTTTTTACTAAATATGATGTTTGTGATGTTACTCTAAGTGTATATCCACACCGGGCGAGCTTGAAAAATGTGCCCGACCACGGTGGGAATCGAACCTACGACCTTTGGAATCATGGCTAGAAATCTCGGACAGTCAGCATTTCCGATTGCGGGCGCAAAAAATGTTCCACGCGTGTGCGTGACGTTCGCGTGACTTGTAGTGAACATAAATAATCAACAATGTCTTTTCACAAAGAGTTGAATAACTTGAGCGCAGCTGATTTTTTTGAATATTTAACAACGAGATCCAATAAAAGAAAGGCCGCAAAGTCGATCGTCGAGTGAGTTGTTCGCGGTTGAGCGGGTAATTTCGCGAAGAAACCGACGAGGCCGGAATGATAAATTTATACGTTCTTTTATATAAGCTTTAGAGGAATATCATTTTAAGAGAATAGACATTATAAGACATGTTTCTTGCTATTGAAGTTGCATCAGTTTTTAAATATAAAAATTATTTCCTCAGCACTATAATAAATTTTCTCAACTTTCCAAACTTTTTAAAACTTAGAAGTTCAAATTGGATTTAACAATTCGTACTTCCCGCGATTTGTTTTGTTTATGAGCCTGTTCATGTCGCAGTAGTTGTTAGTCAGCGGCTACTCCTTCGAATGTTGTGAAAATGGCGATAATAAAAAGACAGATATTTGGCAAAATTTCGTGTTTTATCTTTGTTAAATGGCTTTCAATGGCTGGAATGGCATTTTTAAATTTGGCCTGAAAACAGGGAATTTCAAAGCCAGAACGCCGCATCGCTACAAGCTATGGTATTCTAAAACTTATTCGGAATGATAGCTCGAACATCGTGCAAGAAAATTTGACGTGTGCACCTTGTTGGCAAACTTTTTGGGCTGCGCTACAACGAGCTAAATGCAGCAAGAATGAAGGATTTGCTGGGTTTAATACAAGCTTATATTGTGAGGAAATATTGTGAATTGAATTCAGCGGCGCCAGATAATGGCAAATCGCGAGGGGTCGAAAACATACACTGATATATTTTCTGGTATTGTGTATTATTTGTAGACGTGTGCACCTTGCAAATCATGTTGTAATCGGTACTGCGCATCGATTTTACAATTATATAGTAGAAAGGCTTAGTATTTCCGCCATCTTGGTTTCGTCAAATTTGTTATTTGTGCGCATAATTATACTAATCGTCCGCCATCTTGTCCGAGATTTCTAGCCATGACTAGCCCAATGCTCTGCCAACTGAGCTACGCGGTCAGGACGGTTCGAGTAAGTGATATTTCGGAACAGAATCTAGTTCCTTCGATACCAATGTAATCTTGTAATATGATATTTTTCTGTGTTGGTGTTGTGTACTCAGGTGAATAATATGATGTTTGTAATGTTACTCTGAGTGTATATCCACCGGGCGAGCTTGAAAAATATGCCCGACCACGGTGGGAATCGAAACCTACGACCTTTGGAATACTAGCCCAATGCTCTGCCAACTGGGCTACGCGATCAGGACGGTTCGAGTATTGGTATCGAAGGAACTAGATTCTGTTCCGAAATATCACTTACTCGAACCGTCCTGACCGCGTAGCTCAGTTGGCAGAGCATTGGGCTAGTATTCCAAAGGTCGTAGGTTCAATTCCCGCCGTGGTCGGGCATATTTTTCAAGCTCGCCCGGTGTGGATATACACTCAGAGTAACATCACAAACATCATATTGTTCACCTGAGTACACAACACCAACACAGAAAAATATCGTATTACAAGATTACATTGGTATCGAAGGAACTAGATTCTGTTCCGAAATATCACTTACTCGAACCGTCCTGACCGCGTAGCACAGTTGGCAGAGCATTGGGCTAGTATTCCAAAGGTCGTAGGTTCGATTCTCACCGTGGCCGGGCTTTTTCATGGATTTGGATGTGTCCAAAACCAATCCTAGAGAAATTCAAACAAAATAACTTGTTTGACCCATCCAAATCCATTTTTATAATTCCTCAGATGATTTACTTTTTAAAAATTTATCTAGGATTGGTTTCGGATGTATTATAGAAATGGATTCGGATGTATCCAAAAGCAACTCTAGATAAATTCAAACGATATAACTTATTTGAGCGCTTACAAAATTGGATTTTGATGCGAAAAACAATCTTCAGAAATTCAAACAAATAGTCAAATAATAAATTCAAACAAATAGTCAAAAAATTTATCTAGGATTGGTTTTGGATGCATTATAGAAATGGATTCGGGTGTATCCAAAAGCAACTCCAGATAAATTCAAACGATATAACTTATTTGAGCGCTTACAAAAGTGGATTTTGATGCGAAAAACAATCTTCAGAAATTCAAACAAATAGTCATTATAGAAACGGATTTGGATGCATCCAAAACCAATCCTAGCTAAATTCAAACAAATCAGCTCATACAACCCAATTTAAGTAATCCTGGTTTCACTTGAAACATATTTAAAAAATATCCCTTAAATGTACATGTTTATTTCAGACGTAAATCAATAGCTCAAACAGTAAAGTAGGCTAATATATAATTGCGTTTCCTGAATGCTTTGTTAATATTCTTTTGCAGAATACGAGAAAACGACTTGCAACAAACAAGTACTCGTTTGTAAAATTTCTTCCTCGAACACATTGCCTAACACCCAGAGAAACTTTAGACAACATACACCAGAACAGGAAAGGTAATTATGTTTGCAAATTCGAAATTAGCATCACCAGAAATTTGTGTATTTGCCATGTAGTTCAGAATCCGCGTTAATTATATAATAATTGAATTCACAAAATGACTTTCAACATTCATGGCAACTGGTTATATACTATTTTAAAACATGAGCAGCAGTGTATTATGCGAGGCGAAGCCGAGTATCTTTAGGTATAATAAACACGCACTGCGAATGTTTTAAATTGCTTCAAAAACGATTGATCTAGTAAGTTCATTGGCGATCGAAGTAATTTTCAAAAAATATGTTGTGTAAATGAAGGGAAATCTCTATTACATATAAAGACACAACACGCTTATGATTTTTCTTTGTGTTTTTTTTTCATGAATAACTAATGAGTTTTTGACGTTATGCTAAAAATTTACACCGAAATAGTTCAAAGACAATGGATCTCTATAGGTTTTAAATAATACAATAATTTAAAAATGTGCATAGCATGACCAGTTGGTATGGTTGTTTATGGTACTCCGCCCTTCGACTGCCTAAAAGAGTAAAAAAATATTAACATTGAAGGTTGCTATAGCCACTTACAAGACACCACTCACCCTCAAGGGAAGCATATATTTTGAGTGAAGTGTTAGTGAAAGTTATACGTTCCTTGAGACGTACTCACCTGAACTAAGAAATACCAATATGGCGAATAGGTGGCTAAGTGTTAGAATTAGTAAACAATATCCCAACCAAAATAAGCGGAGAATATATAATTTTGATCCTGAAAACTATGCTGAGGAGCAATTCCGGTCCCGGTTCAGGTTAATAAAAGGGGAGCACACCTGAAATTTTGCGAAAACGTGAAAAATTTTTTTTTTTTCATTTTCAG